TGTGTTGTGAACTCAGCTTGGAATGTGATTGAGGCGACGACGTTTGAGGATGCTCCAAACCTCCTGGCTGTAGTGGATGATGAGAGGTTCAAATGGCCCATTTCATCCACTGATTTTGACAGTTTTTCTCAAACCCGGGTTAGAATTGCCTGGGGAGATTGGCAGAAAGCAGCAGGTACTGCTAGAGGTTCTAGTTCTGTGGCCTGAGGTGAGGCCTGAACACTTGTTTTGTTTCGTTTGCTTGTTTTAGTTTCTTAGGTGGTTCTAATTCATAAGCCAGATCTAGTGGATGCTACTTATGACGTCCTCATGCAGTTAAATGTACTCGTTTGTCACATTCCTCTTAAATCACCACATTCTAAGTTAGAAGATACATATATGGGGCAGTAACTAAAGATAGACTTAAGTTGCAAACTCGAGTGAATTTCTTAGCCTCTTTAAGTCTAGTTTTGTCATCTGCAAAAAGGGATTAATGATCGTACCTACCTTATAGTTTTTGAAGGATTAAGTGATATGTTGCATGTCAAACATTTAGCATAACTTCTGGCACATACTAGAAACTCAATAATTTATTTAATTATTTATTATTATTTTTTAACCACTTGTTACTTAAAAAAATTTTTTTAAATCCTCACCCGAGGATATGCTTATGATTTTAGAGAGAACATCGACTGGTTGCCTTCCCTAAGTGCCCCGGCTGGGACTCAAACCCGCATCTTTTGGTGGGTGCACGGGACAACCAAGTGAGCCACCCGGGCCAGGGCAGTTGTTGTTGTCGATGACATGTAGCGTCTCACAGGAGAGTGGTAGCTTTGTCTCAGTCCTGGCTCTGTAACGTCCCAGCTCGGGGGCCGTAAGTAAACGTCTTAATTTCTCTCACCCTCAGGCCTCTTGTCTGTAAAAATGTGAATAGGTGGGTACAGTGACTATTATGGGAAAGTGCTCAAGACCAGGGGGGGTGCTCAGTAAGCATTTCTGCGACCTCCCCTTTCATTCCACACAGCTTAGAGCCAGGGAAAAAGTGCTTTCAGGAACATCATGGACTTTGGTGTGGCCAGGCTATGCTGAGAAGATATGATGACAAATGGCCTTTGTGGCTGTGACTGGCTGCTGGGAGCAGGTTCCTTGGGGAAATGGTGACCAGAGCTTGCAGGAAGGGAGTTGTGGTGAACTGCCCTGCCCTTCCATGCCATCAGTTGGCTCCTGTCTCCAGTTTACATTGTGCTTAACTTGTGATGACAATGTAATTCTCAAGCCAACATAGTGGCTGCGACTCTGTCCTTTTAAACTTGACCACGTTTTGATTGAGAGGTAAGTGTATCCTGTGGCTTAAAAAGGACCCACTGTCTTAGCACTCCACCAGACCGCCTACCAGATCACAACTTTTCTTGTCTTAGTCCATAATCTCTTACTATAGGTGCCCTCCAGGTACTTATGGAGCTTTCTGGCTTCATAGGATTGTAAGAAATCCAAGTATACTTATTCTACCTTACATCTACTGAGAATGGCAAAAGGACAGTGGCTGAAGGTGATAGAAAGTTGTGTCCTGAACTGAATTCTCAAGTTATCAATACACTTGGCGGTTCTTGTTGGTGCCTGTTTGTGATAGAGCGGGTCCCACTGCTGTGGTGATGGAAGGATTTAGCCTTTCTCCTTTGAGTTCTCTCTCCCCTCAGTAGCCTAAGTACTTGAACTCAATCCAAGGAGTGTATTAAGATGACCTTTAAGAGCTGATAAGAAATGTGCCTTAAGTCTATCGTATAGTTTACCAAGTTATTTTTAGTGACTGGAATGAATTTCATGCTTGGTTCACACCCAGCCTCACAGACTATTACAGTTTAGCTTTAGTGGACACCTGACTCCAAGAAAACATAAAGGTAATATCTGATTGCTAATCAATTATCCTTTTGAGTTATACCGTTATTTTTTTCTGGAAGCGAATATTAAAGGGTTGTAATTTTCTAATACCTGTTTAAAATATGCAGTTTGCCTAGAATCATCTAGGAAATCCTTTTCCATGGTTTCTTAAAATGGAAAGGAGAAGAAATAAATTTGAATTATAATCTGATTTTATTTGTGCTGTTAGCAGTCTTCTCTCTATGGTGTATGCATGTCTTTCATGAAAGACTCATGGCATCTAATGTAAGTAATTCTAGGAAATTGGAAATAAGGGGGGATCATTATCTTTTCTGGGCATTGTGTTTATGAGGTGTGATGGTGAAGGTGCACTGTCAAGGGGGTTCTTGTAATGCTCCCAGGTAGATGCTGACAGAGCATGTTGTGAGGTGATTGGGAGCAGGGAGCCGCAGGTTCCTGTGAGCTGGCCCTCTGTTGATGAAATGATGCAACAATCCTATTAAAAATGAAGTAACGGATGGATTGCTCCTCCATGTGCTTCTTCCGTTAAGTCTTCAGCACCTGCTATTTTTGCAACAGCTTACATAGAGTGGCCTCTAAAAAAGAGAGCGTAGTGATGTAGTTATTTTAAATGTAAGAAATCAGGACTTTGCGGAGATCTGCAGAGAGCTCTGCGGCTCCCCCAGCTCAGCGGAGTTCGAGAGCTGCTGACCAGGGGCATTGATAAAACCAAGCTCCCCAGGGCCCCGTTAAGAGAGGGCTTGGCGGGAGTGTCTGACAGCAGGTCTAGGTATTGTGTCCTGTAAAAGGCAGTTCTTGTGTTGCTCTTGTGGGTTCCCTGTGGGCCAACAGCTTATCTAACGCTGTTATCTAGTCAGCAGGGAAGAATCCCATTGCTTTATTTACTCACCTTACCAATCCTTTCAGACCAGCCATCCAGGGGGGACGCTGCTGTGAGGGGGACTGGGAGGGTAAGGCTAGGGCCGAGACAGGCAGGTCTAGGTTGGCAGCAGAGAGAAAGGAAGCCGGCTGCTTTCTTTTGTGAACGTGCCCCTGCGTGGCTCTTTAGAACTTGTTTCTCCCTAAATGCTTTCTTTTTAACTAGATCAGAGGAAGTATTTGCTTTTCTGAGCTGATCCAGGCAAATAGATGAGTAATAAAGATTGTCAGGTCTGGCCTGCTATATTGATTTTTAAAAGTCGCTCTGTTGAGGAGGGAAATCACTTATCATGATGATTCACCGTCAAATTATAAATCTGGCGCATATGCAAATTTTAAATTGTTCAGTATTTCAATAAGTGAATACATTACCAAGGCTCGGATGACAGAAGCCCCGGGAAGAGACAGTTGGGAGTGGGTGAGACTAGAGCAGGAGGGGGAGGTGGATGGGGATTCAAAATGGCCTCTCTACCTTATAAATGTGATTTTCTTTGAAGCCATTGCAAGTCTTTAGCAGGGTGTACCAATTGGCATTTTTGGGTAAAGCGTCTATATATCTATTTTAGTTTAATTAGAAGATAAGTAGTGTGGGAGGCGTGTGGAGCGGGAAGAGGCGGAAGGGGAATTCTGTCTTACATTACATTTTGGTAGAAGCTTCAGATGCCGGAAAGCGATGATTGGCAGGAGATGTTTTGTAAATTTAGCAAATTCTAAGAAGTGGAGGCGGCAGACTAAAAACCATGGGATCTGAAAAGACAGCAAGCCTAGGAATAGAGGAGAAAGGAGATTTTAAAACATAGGTTGAAAACTCAGTAAATGTTAGTTCCTCTGTTCTTTTTCCTGAATTGGGAAATGGTAATTTCCCATTGTGCTTAAGCACACGTGGGTGATGGTGCTGCCCACTGGATTGTTAGGTGGGAAAAATTAGCTCCTGCATTACCGAGTGGATGTAGAAATGCGAATATCTACAAATAACTGGATAGAAAAATGAACATTGCTGAGCTGGGTGCCGTGAAAGTGAAGCTGTAGGAACGGCCAGCCCTCTCCCCAGGAGCGTATGGATTAGTTGGGGCAAATGCACTCACAGCGAGACAGCCCACAGTACGGACCCAGAAGCTGGCATGTGAACAATCAAAAAACAAAGAGCTCCAAACACCACAAACCCTGGTGGACTGGGTGGGTGGGAGGAGCTTCGCCTAGGAGGTGACTGCACAAAACCTGGACTTGGGAGTCTGGTGGGATTCAGGAAAGTGTCGGAGATTGAGGGCTTTCTGTTGTGGAGAATGGCATGCTCGGAGGTATTGGAGTGGCAGGTTCTTCTATGAGTACCTCTTGAAGAATAAAGAACCCAGGAAGTGCCCTCACCGGTTTGGCTCAGTGGATAGAGCGTCGGCCCGTGAACTAAAAGGTCCCGGGTTCGATTCCGGCCGAAGGCATGTACCTGGGTTGCAGGCTCGATCCCTGGCCCTGATCAGGGCGCATGCAGAAGGCAACCAAATCGCTGTGTCTCTCTCACATCAATGTTTCTCTCTCTCTGTCTCCCTCCCTACCTTCCTCTCTCTCTAAAAATGAATGGATTAACAAACAAACAAGAAAAGAACCCAGGTAGTGAGGTGGAAAGAGACTACTAGTTGCCTGTTGGCGGCCGACTGTGGTGGACCCAGAAGGGCAGGCTCGGGGGGTGTGGGTTGATGCACATAAGCAGTAAGAGCCCCACTGTCAGTTGAGGGGGAGGTTTAGAGACATTTGTGTCGGGGAGGTTTGCAGGGTGGCCTGAGAGGGCGTGACTAGAGGGCAGGGAAATCCATCGTGCAGCTGCAGCAGCGGTTCCTGTGGGTGGGGATGAAAGCTTAGTTAGACTGGTGAACGTGGACAGGAGAAGGAAAGGAGAAATGGAATCAAAATCACATGAAGAACCAAGTGACAAGTACAAAAACACCCCAGTCGTTCTGTTACACTTTTTAAACTTGTGCTCTGTAGATTGGGAGCCGTTTGAATAATATGTCCTGTCCCATTGGAGTGAATGTTAACCAGGTATTTACAGAGTAAAAATAAGGACATTAATGTTCTGTGACTGGAGGTTTAAGCTCATCTGTCGGCAGGGACAACTCCTGGGCCTCCCACTGTTGCGTATCGTGTGCCCTGATGGTGCAACGATTTCTTTCTACTTGGTCCTAATTTTTCCCCTTTTTCTTTTAAAATAGACTCTCCAGAGAAGAATTTCCAATCCATACCTTGAGCACACTTCTTCCCAGGTACGATTCTTTTCTCTCTTACTGTATTTTCTGAAACAGTGATTCGCAGACCCTGATGTGGAATTCTCTAGTTACAGCTGCCCTCTGTGCTCTGATCATGCCGTCTCCTTCACCGGGGTGACACAGCCAGAGTCAGATGAGATGTCCTGATAACTGGGTCAGAATTCAAGATGTTCACTAGACAGGAAAAAAGATTTCTCCATCTTCCACATCCTTTGCATGAATGCATTGCCAATATGGCAGAGTTTAATACATAACATGTTTTCAATTTTCTGTATAGAAACACTGTATTTTAAAAAAATAGTGGGTATTTAACACTGCAAACGGGCAAGGGGATTATTTATACTTACATTTATCTAATAGTAGAATATCTCCGTATGCTAATTGGTGAGACAAGATGAGGACGCCTTTATCACGTTGTGTTAAAGAACCAGTCGAGAGAGAGTTGCGTTTTTAAAACAACAGGAGCCTGGGAGCTTTGTGAGGACAGAGACCTTTTTGGCCTTTTTCCAGGATCATATCCCAGCGTCATTAAACGTTTTCCTGAATGACTGAGGGACTGCATGCTGGTACCACGTCAGGACCAGTCAAGTGTCAGCTGACTTGTACCTCCCTTAGGGTGATAGTTTCTGTCATCTGACTTGTTCACGTTCTTCTTAAGTTTTAATGTGTTAAAAATAAGTCATGTTCTGTCCTCACTTTCTCATAGGGTTGTGTTTAGGAGGTGGTAACAGGAAAATTAAAAAGTATAAGGATGGGGTTGAATCATTCCCTGTTAGGTTATAATCAACATATTATCCATTTGTTTGCTTTGAGCGAAGATTTATATTTTATAGAGGCAACATTTTGTAGGTGCAGAAAGAGTTCACCAAGAAACAAGGGGACAGATATGAATACCTACCGCCTGTATATACGAATTCTCATGATCCTTTACTTATGAAGACAGTTCATTGTCACACGGCTCCTTTGTTAGTGGGGCACAATGCACTCAGAGGAAGGGGCCAGCTATGGGGAAAGGAGGTGTACTAAAGGACATAAGCCTCTCTGGATCTAAGGAATGCCCTCCTTCATCCTTTAAGAACCAGAGACTCATATGCGCAAATTAGGAGATTGAAAAAATTTTTATCTGCTCACTAGAACAGCAAAGTGATGAAACCATAATTCTTAGAATTAACTATGAACTCTGCAGTGGAGCGACCCTTAAACGCAGAGCAGACAACAGCCTGCTATCAAATTGTTATGATACAAGATGTCCACGAGACAGGGAAAAATTAGTTTCCTATCTTCTAAGTCCTTTACATGGATGCGTTATCAATATGGCAGAGTTAATACATAATAAAAATATTCTTTGATTTGCCCTATTGATAGAAACACTCTGTTTTTAAAAACAGTGGGTATTTTACACTAAAAACTTGTGTAAAATACATTACTTTTAATTATAGTTAAAGCCGTTTAGCATATGGAAAATAGCTATTAGAGTTTTATAGCATAAACCCATGGTCGGCAAACCGCAGTTTGCGAGCCACATGCGGCTCTTTGGCCCCTTTGAGTGTGGCTCTTCCACAAAATACCGCGTGCGGGCGCGCACGTACAGTGCGATTGAAACTTTGTGGCCCATGCGCAGAAGTCGGTATTTTGTGGAAGAGCCACACTCAAGGGCCAAGAGCCGCATGTGGCTTGCGAGCCACGGTTTGCCAAGCCGCAGTTTGCCGACCACTGGCATAAACCAATAGCAAAAGTAAAACACAGGTAGCTGTATTTGTAGCTGCATCAGTGTCTTAAGCTTATGGATTTGGTCATCATTTTTTTATATATATAGTATGCTCACAAATTATGGCATGATTGTTCTACATTTATAGGGAATGTTTGTTTTTTCCACTTAGATTTATGGGGAGAATTCTTCTTGTGCAGGAAGAGCACTGAGGAATATCATTATCGTCCAGGCAGCTGATCTGATCAAGGACAGAGCGAACCTCAAGGGATTTTACAGGTAACACAGTTTTCTAACATCTTGTCAGAAACTCTCCTTATGAATAAAAAGTGTTAAAATCTTAAGCATGATCACAGAGAGACAGGCTGTAGGAATAGGCTGTAGATCAGTTGAAGTGTCCTTTTGGGTCACTGGTGATGACTTGTCTCTTCTTTAAACTTAGCTAAGTGTTTGTTGACAGTTGGGCTCCTGGTTCTGAAGTTAGGGTCTGGCATCCCCGGGTGTGGATGGGTTCCTGAGAGAGCCTCTGCTTCCTCTGAGCTGGGATAGTTTAGAATAATTTTATTGGGTGTGTATATAGGTCCCCCTTCAGGGACCTTATCGAGGCTCTGAGAGGACTCTCAGGACCATGGGCTGAGAGAACCGTTGCTCAGCTCGCCAGGTGGGAGGGAGAATCCCCTTGGGTGCTGTGAAGAGCGGGAGTAGGGATGGCATTTCTCTGCCTTGGCTAGTGGATAGGGCAGAGGCGCTAGAGTCAATGGGTGGGTTAGAGGCCTGCTTTAAAGTACAGCTGGACCAAGAGAGTGGGCACTTAGAAAGTTTGGAGCCCATATTTTCATTTTCTGGAGGTTAAAGGAAAAACAAAAGTTTGTTTTTGTTAGTTTTCCATATTATTATTGTTTTTATGTTAAGTAAAGATATTAAACCACACCAAACAATACCAGAAGAAAACCTCAAAAGGAAAAAAAACCCTATCATTTATTTTCATTTTTCTTTCTTATAGCAATGAAATCATAATACCATAAAAAATAGGAAGAATACTCAGAATAAATGACAGCAAAAAAAAAGTAGGAAAGATTCCCAGAATAAAGGTCATTTCTTTAACTAAACTTAGACACGTTGATTTTTTTTTAAAACAAGAACCGTACAAAGTCTTTGGGTTTAGTTGTGAGTGACCTAATAGGATTCATTTTTAAAAATTTTTTATTGACTAGAGAGAGAGATTTGTTGTCCACTTATTTATGCATTCATTGGCTGATTCTTATATGAGCCCTGACTGGAGAGCGAACTCACAACCTTGCGGTATCGGGATGATGCTCTAACCAACTGAGCTCTCAGCAGGGTTCATGGGACTCATTTTCGCTACACATAAGGCTATGTGTAACGTCTGTCATTGCTCTGTTTTGTTTCTTTATGTGACCTCTATGGATATAGATTGAAAAAAGAATGCAGAGATATACATTAGTTGGGTTCATGGAAAGAACCATCCATCCAAGTTAGAACATACTAGTAGGAATAGAATGGGGAAAGAGCATGTGTTTTTGCTATTTCAGATTCCCAATGGTCAGGCCAGAACCTCCCTTCTTTTAAAATCTAAGAACTGATGCATGTTCTGGGTATAAAGACAAAGTGCTAATATGGTGGCCCAGAACAGATCATTTTCATATGTCTGGCAGTGAATTAAGGGAAAGTGTTCCCTATGCACCACGTGAGAATTCCTTTCAGAGCTGGTCTCTGAATAGCATCGCCCCATATACTGGAATATTCGAGATTAAAGTTGTGCCTGCACTATCATGAAATAATTGCTAAAAATGTAACCAGAGACAGAAGGAAGCTAAGAGATAGCAAACGCTCAGCTCCAGAGATTGTTAAAAGAATGCTTTGTTAGAGCAATCCCATTGGCCTTGTACTTAGTCGCCTCCGTATCACAACGTTCCTACCTCACATGCGACTGTGGTTAGGTCTGCATGTCCGCAGAACAGTTTCTGGATTCAGGACAACGCCGAAAATACCCCGGGAATAAGAGCTGCTGTCCGTAGTCAGATTGCTCCCTTCCAACCGTCTCCGTTCCCCTTCTCACTGCTCTCCTTAAATCCTGTGGATTTGGGCATTTTAACTGGATTGTTGCGGGCCTGGTCAGAAGTCAGGGGAGGATGCCTTAAAGACAGAGGCAGCTCACCTCCTTGCTAACCGCTGCCAGGGCAGTGCTATGTTTTCGCATATTGACTCGGCCCTGCCCCCCAAACAGAGGGAGCCCTTCCCAGTGACAAGGTAGAGCTGGGGGTTGGGCTTTGTGGCCACCAGCATCACCGGGGAGCCAGTTAGAATCGAGGACTCGCAGGCCCCGCCCAGCCGTCCTGCCTCAGAATCTGCAGGTTAGCCTAACCGGTTTGGCTCAGAGCATCAGCCTGCAGACTGAAGGGTCCCGGGTTCGATTCCGGTCAAGGGCATGTACTTTGGTTGTGGGCACGTCCCAGTGGGGAGTGTGCAGGAGGCTGCTGATCGATGTTTCTCTCTTATCGATGTTTCTGACTCTCTATTCCTCTCCCTTCCTCTCTGTAAAAAAATCAATAAAATATATTTTTTTAAAAAGAAAAAAAAAAGAATCTGCAGGTTAGCCAGATCTCTCAGGTAATGCCTAACCACAGTTTTGAGGAGCCCGCGTCTGAGAAATTTCTCCGCCATCATCACCTGTGAACAAACATGCGCGCCCATCCATCCAGCCACCCTTTGCAAGTTAACAGTTTGATTTATTCAGTAAATGTTCCATCGTGTCCTTTCACATTCCACACAGTAGGCAGAGGAGCTGGACTGTTCTGAGAATAAGGATTACAAATGATACAGTGTTTAATCCGATGATAACTGTGCTTCGAGCAATTAGTTAGAAGATGCTGGCTAATTGACAGAGGTGTTGAGGAATTAATTAACACTTTGAGCCTTTCACATGACAGGTGTCCTATCGAATTAGAAGTTAATATTGTCTAATTAACTGTTTTGTTGTGATCTGTTTTCTCATTTTGTTAAAAAAAACACATCCATTTATTTGACTGTTAATCTGTTTAATTGCCTTAATGCTAACCTGCGATTAAACACGTCCGGTATTGCCTTAATTGCCTTAGAGCATCTTACAAACTGTAGCACTGTACCAAAAAACTGTGATGCATTATCAAAAGCTAGAATGTTTGATCAGATCTCTCCACAGAAAAAGCTTATTTTTTTCTTCACTCTGGAAACTGTAGCACCTTTGGCATATCTTTGTATTGTTGGCTACTGTGTGATTTCTAGCTATTTGTGCCTATGCCAATCACAGGAGATAGGCAATATTTTCCTGTTTTAGGAATACAAATAAAGTTTACATCTTTTGGTCCTTAAATGCCAAATATAGAATGAACATAGCCATTTACATGATACATCATTTAAAAAAAACATTTTGGTGACAGTTTCTCATAAGGGAGAGTGGGATTCAATGAAATTTCTGCAAATGAAAATCCACATTTCAGCAAGCTTTCTTCTTTGGGTTTTTCATCACAGGCTCATAAAGGTGGAAAAGAAGGATTGAGATACTTCTTGTAACGCCAAGATTGGACAGCCTTTGATTATAGTTATATATTTTAGGACAGAGTACAGAGAATATTGTATGTGTGTGTGGTTAGTGGAATCCTTCACACACATCTGCATTTGTGGGTGTTATGATCTAGGTTCCTTAGCTAGATTGCTTAGGTTATATTAAAAAGATTCACAGTCAAATGGATTGTCCTTTGAGACAAATTCTGGGATTTAATCTCTGAAAAGTAGCAAACAAAATTCTCTATTACCCACTGTGTTCCAACTTTGCCTAATCCTCTTGGAATTATTTTGTTCTTATTAAAGAGACTAGATAAGCCCTGGCCGGTGGGGCTCAGCTGGTTGGGCATCATCCCATGCACCAGAAGGTCGCTGGTTCAATTCCAGGTCAGGGCACATGCCCAGGCTGTGCACTCAATCCCAAGTAGGGGCATGCAGGAGGCAGCCGATCAATTTTTCTCTTTCACATAGATATTTCTCCTTTTCCATCCCTCTCCCCCTAAAATCAAAACTATTATTTAAAAAGAGACTAGAGCCGGGAACCTCAGCCCAACTGGGCGCACACTCGATGGATGCCCAGGGTTCGACGTGACCTCGGACCAGCCAACCCATGAGCCAGAATCTGGGGCGGGGGGGGGGGAGGGCAAAGCTTGTCCCAGAAAGTAGTTGTGGTGGGAGAGCGGTGAGTCTCCAGAGTGTGCCTAATTCCCTGCCGCCCCACTGCCCCGCAACTGCACGCAGCCATATCCGAGGAGAAGCCCAAGGAGGGAGTGAAGACAGAATGACCACATCAATCTGAAAGTGGCCGGGCAGGATGGCTCAGTGGTCCAGTTCAAGATTAAGAGGCACACCCCACTGAGCAAGCTGATGAAGGCCTACTGTGAGCTGCAGGGCTGGTCAATGAGACAGATTAGGTTCCGGTTTGATGGGCAGCCAATTAATGAAGCAGACACCCTGGCCCCGTTGGAGATGGAGGATGAAGACACCATGGATGTGTTCCAGCTGCCGACAGGAGGCTCACGGCAACTGGCTGACTCTTGGGATGTGGTCTGTAGAGGGGCCGGCCAACTTTGTCACCGACCTAGCATTTGCTGTTGACTAGTGAACACGTGACCATGCCGATCACCAAGGAGTCTGCAGGAACCGAGGACATCCACAAAAATTCCTTTCCTCTCTGCCATACTGTGGTGCCACTCAAAACTGGCTGCAGGGGCGAATCCTTACCTGAACCGGGCCAGCCAGTGTCGTGTCTGCTTAGGAAAATGAGTTGCAAGGTTTCGGGGGTTTGTTTTTGCTCTCATTTTTGTCTTTCCCCCTCTTACAACATTTCCCCGAAGCTTTTTAGTTTAGACGGGGATCTTACCCCCCTGCTTATTCCACTGTAGAGAGCTCACATCCATCACCAAAGTGGGGGTGCTTCTGTGGGCACATTTTGGGTCATTGTGGGGAGACAAACTTCCACTTAACTGTTTCTTGTAGGTCCACTTACTGTCCTGTGGGTTCTTTCAATGCTAAATATTGCAAGTTTAAGTTTGGTGAGAATATGGTAAAGTTGAGGGGGGATACTGGAATGCTTTTTAAAAGGTGAAAAGAAAAATAACCGAGTCCCTCAGTAGCACAGGCCTGGGCGCTCTGTTCCTCCAGTGTCCCCTGGGGTAGGGCCAGGCCCAGGGCCCCTGGTCGTGCATGGCCAAAGCAGGGTGCAGCAGATACTGGCTTTTCTTTTAAAATTTTTTTCAATTACAGTTTATATTCAATATTATTTTGTATTAGTTTCAGGTGTTCCCTTCCAATACAGAGGAAAGCAATTCCCATATTTCTCACTTGTCAGTAGTATTGTGGCCTCAGATCTCTTCCAGTATTTGCTTCTGGTGAATAATTATGGTCTCTCTATAAAAAAAGTACGATGAAGTATTGCTGATGTTTTTGTGTCAAAGAGCAACTTCAAAGTGTGGTTACAAATGGGCCCCGTGCAAAGATGACTTCTTATTGTTCTCACGGACTGTGCTCTGCTGTTTCCTGGCATTGGCTGTGGTTTCATTTCTGTGAAACATTTTGGAGCCTGTACCTACTAAACGTTCAGTTCTCCTCCTGCCCTTTTGTATGGAACCCCTGCTGCCTGACGGCCCTGCTCTGCCTTCTTCTGGTACCTGGACAGTGCGGCCTGGACCATCATCTCTTGCTTGCCCAGAGTCTTGCCTTTCCTTTGTGTTTTGCTGTTGGGGTCTGGATGTGGTGTCTGCTGGCTCTGCTGTTTGTTCACAATTTGTACATTCTTTGTTGTCCTTTACTGTAAACAGTAAAGATAGTTTGATATTCTGTTTCTTGTATTAAAGATTGCATTTGGGGGGAAAAAGAGACTAGATAAAAATCTATAAATGGTGGAACCAAAATCTATCACCACCAACTTGAGGTACTTGTCTTGCCGAGGCAGAAGCATTATCTTTCTATAAAGGACTGCTAAATTCATTTATGCAAACTTACGTATTTTGAGAAATTACTGTGTACCTGGACTGTCCTAGTTGTTGGGGTTTAATAGTGAGTTATGCATAATCCTTGGTCTCCTGAAATTTATTCTTAAGAGAGGAAAGCAGATATTATTCATTCAGAAAGATGTATCATTATTACATGTAAGGTGACTTGAAGAAAAAGAATAAGAGAACTTGATTCCAAGTCCCTCTAAGGAAGTGATATTTGAGCTAAAATCCGAAAGAGGAATGAATCAGAGGTACATGTCATGTATTATTGAGTCACTTGTTTTAAAAAGCAAGCACATGGGAGGGATGCTGTTAAATACCAATTTTTTGGCAAAGGAGTGGCCACGATGTCTCATGTGAACGGCTTTGTTTTATGCAGGCGAAGCTGTGTTGGGTCAGAACTGGTCGACTGGCTTCTGGAACACTGTCCTTTCGTCCAGTGCAGATCCACGGCCATAGGGGTCTGGCAGCTCCTACTGGACATGGGGATTCTGTCATCAGGTTAGTAGGACATGCTTGGGAGGCACAGAATCATTATTTTATTAAGTGACCAGACCAAAATATACTTGATATTCTAGTTATCTGGATGGACATTGGTTTTTCAGATAAATATTTGCATTCTCTCTTATTTTATACATAAAAGTGATAGGTCATCTTTTGATTGTTATTTCTCTCACACCTTTTGTGAAAATAATTAGGTACCTGCTGATTCATAGACATCTGCCTATAAGAGTTGTTCGCTTACTCCCCTCCCTTCTCTACTCTAAATGCTGCTCGCAATTTTTTTTTAATCAGTGACATTTTTAGTTGCCCTAAATGTGTGATTTATCTTGCCGTACTTAGAATTATCATCAGAGACTGATTTTATGAGTGGAATGTGTATGCCATTTTGATTGACTAAGTAATCATGAACAGTTAGAGATATGACCTATAAAAATTAGCTGTTTAAACAGAACAGAAAATTGCTGTTAACTGGAAACTAAAAAGATAGTTGATATCTCTTTTTTTTGTTGTTGTTGAGCCCAGGGTTTTAGAGAATAGGAGTGATGCAATCTGATTTTTTTTTTTTTAGCTCTTTCACAGAGATGCTGGTTGGTTAATGTAAAGCCCTCTCCCCCCCTTTTTTCCCTCTAGGTCAGTGGTCGGCAAACTGCAGCTCGGCAAACCGCGGCTCGCGAGCCACATGCGGCTCTTTGGCCCCCTGAGTGTGGCTCTTCCACAAAATACCGACTTCTGCGCATGGGCCACGAAGTTTCAATCGCACTGTACGTGCATGGTATTTTGTGGAAGAGCCACACTCAAGGGGCCAAAGAGCCGCATGTGGCTCGCGAGCCGTGGTTTGCCGACCACGGCCCTAGGTAATAAATATTGAGGGCCAGAGAACTTAGTAAGATTTAGAAAGGCATAACCCAAGTCCCACTGTGGAAGAGTGGTTCAGATGGGGGAAGAGGTATAATCTTAGTGAGTTAATAATACCTGCTTCTCTTTTTTAGAAAACCAGTTAGCTACCTTTGAGCAATGTTATCAACTTGCTTGAGAGATTCCACAAAACATTTTGTGTTAATATTTTTTGGAAAAGTCTCCAGTTCTGATTCCTTTAAAATGGTGTTTACCAACCTTGATAGTGTTAACATTTTGGGCTAGATAGTTCTTAGTTGTAAGGGGCTGGCCCATACATTGTAGGATGTGTAGCAGCATCTCTTTCTTCCACCCACTAGATGTCAGTAGCACCCCCTAGCTGTGACAACCAAGAACATCTCCAGGCATTGCCAAGTGTTCCCTGGGGAGGGCACAGTCACCCTGGTTGAGAACCACTGATCTAGAACTTGCCACCATGGTGTACTTGTGTTCCACTAAAGTAATTACATATATCAGTCTACTTTGGGACTCTAAAGAAATGTCTCCTCACTATCTTTGAATAACTATAGATTTTACCTGTCCCTAAAGCAGAAAAGTGATCAAATATGTGTGAATATGCTGGTCGAAGCTTCAAATCATGAAAATAGATTGGTCAGTAAATCCTTTTGAATTCAGTAGAATTGTGAACACGAACAGATTTAGACTGTGATTGTAGTCCCATCCCTGGCGAATAGTACTTAGTGATGCTTTCAGCTTAGTATTGGGTTTATGACTCTCTAAATAATATACTTTAAAAAACTGATCCACACCTTTTTTTCTTTCCAACAGTGGACCAGCATTTATACTTTCAGGACACTTACGTTTTCTATCAGTTTTCATCGGATGAATGTAGCTATCTATACTGTGAATTCGAACGAGAAGAAGAATGGCAAAATGGTGTCAAAATGTTACTGCAGCTTGTGCCTGTCATTCGCACCAGAGCTGGCATCTGTGAACTGTAAGTGGATGCTCTTTCATTCTGTTGTTAAATTATTCTCACGTTAAGAACATTTACTGTGTCTGGGGACTGTTCTTTGCTCTTTAAGATGACCATCTCCTTTAAAAGGTAGCTGTTCTGGTCCCATTTCTCAGCTGCAAGTTCAGAAAGGTAAAATAAATTGCTTAAAGTGAAATCAGCTATTAAATGACTGACTTAATATTCAAATCTCAGAAGTCCCTGCCTTGCCAGCTACACTATGCTGCACCTAATTTAATTATTGCTATATTAGTAGATGATCTAAATTAGAAATAAACATGATTTGACTTGAGTTGAGAATAAAATAGTAACTCATATCTTATTCACTACCCAAGTCATGACTTTCCTAAGAAAGAGCTCAACAGACATTTAGGAAAATAATCTAGAAGCAACATTTGGCAAATTAAAACACCAGTCATAGCCCTGGCTGGTGTATTCAGTGGTTAGAGCATCAGCTTGTACACTGAAGGGTCTTGGGTTTGATTCCCGGTCAAGGGCTTGTACCTGGGTTGCAGGTTCAATCCCCAGCCCTGGTTTGGGTGCATGTAGGAGGCAACCAATTGATGTCTCTCTCTCACATCCAAATGTTTTCTTCACCCTCATCCTACCCTTTCTCCTTCTCTCCCTTCCTCCCTTCTACTCTTTCTAAAAATCAATGGACAAAATATCCTCAAGTGATATTAAAATATAAAACACATGAAGATACTGAGTCACTATATGATTAAAATGAATTAAAATTAGCTCGTTTTAGAAAAGGTTTGTGAAAAAAGACTTGTCATGATATGGCATTCTGACGGGGCATTGTGGGGAAACAACAACCAAGGACATACTGCGTGTGCAACTCAGGTAATAAATATTGAGGGCCAGACATACTGTGTGTGCAACTCAAAACTGTCCACATCATTAATGACAAGCTTACTTAACTGTGGTGTATTGCAGATTAAAAATTTCAGTTAATAACTTTCACATATTTAGTTTTTAGAATGTATTCCCAAACTGTTGACTCTTTCAGTTAGCTGGGCAAGTAGTATTATCCTCATCTCATGGGTAAGAATGTAGGTTCTAGGAGAAATACCTACACCCATAACAAAGATAAATTACCCTTGTTAAAAAGAACAGTTAGCCCTGGCTGGTGTGGCTCAGTGATTAAACTGTTGGCCCCGAGGGCTCTCAGGTTCCATTCCTGATCAAGGGCACATACCTGGGTTCAATCCCTAGCCCAGGTCACGGCACATGCGGGAGGCAACCAATCATCAATGTGTCTCACTCACGTTGATGTTTCTTCTTCTCCTCCTTTCTCCCTTCCATTCTCAAAATCAATGGAGAAAATATCCTCCTGGTGAGAATTAACAAAATGGAAAAAAAGACAACACTGAACAGTTAATATAGGCTTTTAGAAAAATAAGTATCAGAATACTAATGAGACACTGGGCTAATGGAAAGTTTGATTTTAGAGAACACATTTTATGTCAGGAACTATGCTAAATGCTCTATTTCACTGGTTCCCAACCTTTTTTTGGCCATGCCCCACCTAAGCATCTCTAAAATCCTGATGCTTCCCTGTGACATATAATTCTTATTATTAAAAAAATGAACTCCTATTCATGTGGAGGAAGCCTAAAAGGTCATTGACTTGGTCTAAACAAGCTTCCAAAGAACATGGCATCCATGAAAGAGAAAAATAAAAGAATGAAAGGACAGTTGAAGTACTGAGGAATAAATCACTAAGAAATTATTTTTAGAAATAATAATATGAAGTGATATGAAAAAATAGCAAATAAAGTTTCAAAACATATATTAGAGTACTGAAATGCATAAACATGTCACAATATATATTTATATACTGTGCATGAGGCCCCTAGAACCGTGAGAAATACAAAAATCCACTGTTAACAACTCATTCTCGAATTGTCCCCTTAAAAATAAAATTGCCCCCCTGTGGGGCATGTGCCCCACGTTGGGAACCACTGCTCTATATTCATTATTTCATCTTCAGGTGAATCCTGTAAGACAGTTACTACTATTTTTCCTATTTTGTAAGTGAGGAAACTGAAGTCAGGTAGCCTGTCCAGGGACATACACGTGCGTGGAGTGTTTAGGATGTGAGTGCTTGTCTATCTGACTCTAGTGCCCATGCTTTTAGCACCTGCTCCCTGGTTCCTAAGCGGTATGGGGGTCATTCTAGCTACCCTTTCTGAGATGTTACAAATGGAAGCTATAAAAATGTTAGACTGACTCTGAAATGGTTACGAATTCACCACCACTGTTTACAGAGGACCTTGCAAGGGTAAAGCAACCTTCAAATATTAACTCCCCACTCAGCTGTCTAAGTACAAAAAATGTTCTGTAGTGTAATGTGCTTTTAATATGGGTCAGAAGTTTCCTGAGAAAAGCCAAGGAGCCTTTCAATAAACTTGAACCAGCTTTCTAAGAAGGAGTGGCCTGCTTCTGAAGCTAGAGGTGGCTGTGCCTTGCTTTGGCTCTGGCATACTTTAGCAGCTCTTAACCGTTCCCCGTCCTGAGGGCAAGATGGAACTGTGTGCACCCCCATGGGCACACCTGAATGAATGGGGGCACAAGGGCAACTGAACTCAACTTGCAAGCAGGCCTCATGCCGTAGCTCCAGTCCTTTCTCCTCACTCTGCAGACTAGAATGCCAGTGAGTGAGGTGACTGTATATAGGGACATCCTAGGTATCTTGTAAGTTCTGAAAAGGAAAATGTTTTAAAAAGTGGGGTCTTAATATTTATTCCGGGTTATTTCCAATCTTATGTCACACTGGTCCCTGAACACAAATGTCATGCCTCTAGAATTGAGAATCACTGTAGCGTGCCTTGTCTATCAGCAAACTTTTTATGTCGGTGTGAACATGCGCATTTGGGAGTAGAAATTCCTCTGGGAAAATTGGGTCATTAGGAAGTTATGGGTCTGTCAGTTCCACATTATAAGTCCTAACTATAAACAGATAAAATTACTGAACCACTGCAAGTCTCTTCTGGAGAGAGAGGACGTGCATTTTTTCCTACAGTAGAGCTATAAGCCAACTGCTAAGCTATGGTAGAATGTTTTCAGCCAAATTTTGGGAAGCCAGACTTACAATAAAGCACAATAAGGAAAAAGGTGCCTGGAGACATTGCCCTCTCAGTTGTCACAGCCCTTTCTGTGGTTTCATGCATGTGATCCTGTCATAACTCCTGCTCTTGCCCGGTGATCCACGTTCATTCCGCCCGCCCCACACCCACGTGTTCCCTCAGGCCCATAGGATGCTCTGCTCTCCAGCTTCTTTCTTGTCCAGTCAAATTCTACCCACCCCTCAAGGGGGAGCCCAAGTCCTACTTTCACTGCAAAACTTCCATGATGTCTCCAGTCCCTGTCTGTCTTTCTTTTAGTAACTTACTGTTCTTACTGTTTGTATCAAAATCTTTTTCCATTTTTCTGTCATTCTTAGTCCTGTCCATTCAGCTTTTTATCCGTTCTACTGAAATGCCCTCTAACGGCTGCCGGGTTCACTAATCGAGGTTGACCACTCAGGAGCAGAAAGCCTGTCTCCCGGTCCTTCTACTGACCTTTGTGATATTTGAAGGCTACTAAGGTCAGCCATGCAGTTCTCCGGTCGGCCTCACTAATTTGCTGTCTTCTCTCCGAATCTCTTTAAAACTATGGAAGGAAACTACTTACTATCTCTATGTGAATGCACCCTGTTCTGTACAAAGGTATTTTGAAAAAGAAAAGTGAGGTTTTCCCACTTTAAAGAAACATATAAAGCAGGAAGGAAAATGGAGCTGCTGCAGGTTTCTGGGCTAATGTAAGGCAACAAAATCCCTCCTCTACACAAAATAACGCTTCTATCCAAACTGGGGAGATAATTTGAAAGGAATGAGTGACTCAGTTGTCAAGGGTATCAGACATGGCACCTCATTCAAACGGAAAGTCAGTCAAGTCTCCCAGAATGCACTTTGTTCCAGCTCCTTTTCTTGGAACTTCTGACCCATATTAAAACCTGGGTGGGGCGGAGGGTGGGGGAGGAATTGCTGAAGTGACAGAGTAGGGAAAGGCAGCCTAATGACCCCTTCAGGGCGAGTGGGACATTTCTCTCCAGCTGAGACTCTGTGACTCTGTGACTCGGAATTTAGGCTGCAAGGAAGCTTCGCTAGTTCAATTCAGCCACCATTACAGGTGGGTGTGGAGGTGCTCAAATAGCCGTGCCTGTGAGCCCTGAACTAAACTCTGCCAATTACAGGACAGTCAGCATTGATGCCGTTTTTAGAAGAGCTGTAGAGGATTGCTAAAATCAGACTCCCGCCACGCTCAGACACATCTAAAGAAGAATGTAGCTTTTTTCGTTTTCTTTGAACAGTCTGTCTGCTCCCCAATAGCCTGCATCCTGCTGGACAGCCAGACGGAAGGACAAGAAGTCCGTGTTGTTAACCTGCTCAGTAAAGGCATCCGACTGAAGTACATTTACAGGTCCCTGTAGTTAGCTGTTAGCATATGTTGGTGAAAAGGCTGCCTCTCCACACCCTCTCCGGCTCCTATATATAGGTCCTGCTGGAAGAAATAAAATAGTTTGTTATTTGAATTCACAGTAACATTTTTGTCTTGTGTCTGCTTAATCAACATGCCGCGTTTATGGTCTGTGATCTGTTTCTGTGTTCAAGGAGTTCCCCTCCTTGACAAATGGAGAGCAACTGACGTAGTTGTTTTGCCCAAGCTGCCCTGGCAGTGACAACAATGTTTTCAGAAAAAGAAAACAGACCAATACACCTCATGCATACAAGCACAGAAATCTTTCTCAACAAGTATTAGTAAATGGAACCCAGCAATGTATGAAGATGATCATACATCATGAAAAAGGGGAGTTTATCCCAGAAATACAAGGATGGTTCAGCATTCAAAAACTAATGCAATCCACTGTATTCACAGTCTAAGAACAAAACTGTGGAGTTTATGATAAACTCCATAAATGCAGATAACGCTTTTGA